GTATGAATTTTTGATACATGAATTTAAGATTTTTAAGGCCTTAAAGGTCGTAAATTCATTGGAAAATATGTCTTAATTACATTAATCGCTGGTCTTAAATTTTGTCGTGTTTAAGTACCTATATTCCATGTAGGTTATTTTTTTTCGTGGGACTTTTTCTGTCAGGAAAAAAATCAATTGCAGTCAGACATCTCCATTATGTTCTTTGACGTGATACGGTTGAGGCTACCGCTAACTAGCTGCTAATAAACCCTTGCTAGCTAGCGTGTTTTCATCTTTCATTGATAAGAATGGCCTTCGTCTTCGCCACTGGCTCACATCTGTTGCTAATCTGCTATGCAGCTTCTGTGCAAAAAAGCTTGCTCCTATTTTTATATAAAATATCCAATTTTGTCTTGATACAAGTCTGAAACTTCATTAATAATGGTCTTAAAAAAGCAGAAACTCTAAAGGAAAATAATCCTGATCTGATCAGACACAAACATGCCTCAGTCAACACTTCCCCTTTGAGGTTTTTTGCCTCTTGTTTCCTTACTGTAGCTGCCTGCTCCGGTCCCCAGAGACCACATCCGGCTCAGAACCTGTCGAGGAGCTGCCGCCGCCCGCAGAAGCGATGGACACTGACCCAAAGTCTGCGCAGGAAGAGCCAGAAGCGTCTGCACAACCACATGGCGCTAAGCCGGCCAGAGCTGACCCAGGCAAGGTGCCCAAGTGGTTCAAACTGCCAGGTGAGGAGAGGATGAACAGCCACTGGAGCAAACAGTGGGCATGCACTCCATGCAACGCACATGGGTGCCGTGCTTAAGGGGGCGCCAAAATGGTGGTGCAAAAATTATTTCCAGTTGGCATTTTCTGTATTTAACTGTGCATCATGTAATCAACAACAGAGGGACTTTGATTATTATTTTCAGAAGACCCTCTGCTCCTTCAATCCCCACACGATTCTCCCCCTTTCAGAGGTTTGCGTTGAGCGTGCTAGCTAATTAGGCGCTGCGGTTCCTATACCTGTCACACGGCGTTCGGTTATTTTTTTCTCCCATTTTAACGTTACGTTGTTTTTTCCATTTGAATCGTGTTGTCACCTGAGCTAAAGACGGAGAGGTGGAAAAAAAAAGTAAACAGTTGAAAGTGATTGAAAGGCAGCATGTAAGTTATGTCCGTGCATCAAGAAGAGGCTTGTGAATGTCCAGGTTAGCTTTACCAGTAAAATGACAGGTCCCTGGTGTCCCGTCATTGTTTGATGCTTTTATAAACTAATGGATTAGAGCAAGAAAAATGAAGGAACTTGTTTGTGGTTATTTTTGTTGTGCAGACATTTATCATTTGTTGAATGAAATGGTGAACCATAAATCCAATGAATTATAGAACTTGGCCGTGATAAAGTTTAAATATCGTCACTCAGTCTAACATGTGAGTGTTGGTGTGATGTATCCGGCTCTGATCAGAAGCAGCTGTTCATTCAAACGGATTTTAGTCAAAATTATGTTCCTTGTGTGGTTTGACTTGTATTTTCAACCTACTTAACACGAAGTTCATGTCATTCAGTTGAGAGTGTGGAGAGAAAGAAGAGAAGAAGAAGAAAGAATCACAGACAGGGGAAGGCAACAGGTTGGTCTGATGTTAGGCAGAAGAGAAGGAACAGCCACTTAGTCTCAAGTGATTGTAATTCATTTAAAACAAAAGTTTGTCCGAAAGAGCTGTAATTTATTTTAAACTAATAAAGTTTGTTTTACCACATGACTTTAGAATCTGGTGCAAACTTGATAACGTGCGCACGCGCCTGATCTACAAACGACGCACAAACAAGATTGTGCCGCAAAATGAGGAGAATGGCAGTCGCTCTAAATTCAGCTTATCTGCTTTCATGAATATGCAAAACACAGAGAGACAACCAGGAAGCGAAGAAGGAAGATATTCCAATACTTCACTTCCCCCGAGTGTGATTTACTAAACCTGAGCCAGATTGCTAGGTGCTGTTTTTGTATCTATATTAACAAATTTGAAAATTAAGTGTAAACACTAGTAGATGTCTGAGGTCAAGAGGCCTGGATACGATGCCTCTTGACCCGATCATTCCAACTCACAATTGATCGTTCAACACGATCTCTTGCTGTGCCTACAGTTTTATTCTTTGCTCATTTTGAATCTTTGTCGATCAGGCCTTCAGTGTTTAAAATGTTCCATTTGCTGCTGAATTGAGAGAACAAGCTTCATTAAAAAGGAGTGAAAACACCATCAGACACTAAAAATGGAAATAAAAGCCCACTGAGATCAATTACGTCCTTTTTTTTCTTGTTGTGAAAGAACTTTTTATCACTGCAGTTTTGCGCCATTAAGCGCCTAACAAACTGAGAACAGCGAAAACTTGCTGCATTTGAAGAACGGAACGGCTGGCGACTCACAGCATCGGGATGGTTGTTGGGACCAAGCAGTTGGTTCAGAACGATCGTTCGCATCCTGTCCTGAATGCCACCACACGCACGCACACACACACACCCACACACACACACACACACACACACACACACACACACACACACACACACACACACACACACACACACACACGGAGGGTCCAGCCAGAGAGCGACTGGTGCAGCCGCTCCCGTCAGGTTGTGTCGTAGGGTTTCTGCTGGTCACCATATTGGTGTTTTTCTTCAGGGTATTCGCTCCGTTTGCAGCCCCTCCCCCGTGTTGTTTGTGTTTTTGTGAGTTTTATTTCTGTGTGTGTCCTCTCTGAACCCAGCTGTGGCTGTTTTCTCTTTCATGAAGAAAGTTAAAAGAAAAAGACAGATGGGGGGGGCGCTCGATGGGGATTATAGATTCCATGTGTGGACCGGTGCACAGAAACACACTCACTCGACACTCTGCTCGGTGTGTGTGTGTCGCGCCGTTTCTCCGTTTCTGAGGGGATCAGCAGTGACGCGTCAGGAGAGCTCCGGCGCATCCAGGAGGAACAAATCCTCAACTCATTTTGTGTTCACACGGTTTTATTTCTCTTGTCCTTCATCTCCATGACGTCCATTTATCAGTTCAGTCATCATCCTTTCTCTCCTTCTCTCTTGGTTCCTTCCTCCCATTTCTTCAGAGTCGGGACATTTTTGCAGGGTGCACATTTAACGTCTGGCCACTCAATAAATATCTTGAAATAGATTTATAAAATTGGACTAAATAGGACTGAAAACTTTCAGTTTCAGTCTGGTCATTTGTAGAGTTTGGATATAGAAATGTTTGGGAGCCCTGATTATAGAGTAATTTGTAAGTCGTTCTATTTTCAGAGGGGCTTCATTGGCTTTTCTTACCAATTTATTCAACTCCTAACCAGCTGCTTTCCCGTTACAAATGTGTGTAAAACTTTGTTGATATTCCGCTAATGTCAAAAAAACCACAATTGTGCAGTATTAAAAAAGAAGCTTAATTCATATGCCTGTAAAAGAAAGCCTTGAAGAAAATGATACGTAGCTTTCAATATTTTGTACCAACATCCCGACAGGTCCGGGTTGAAGTTCTGGAGATATTTCCAGGTGGATCGAGTTATAAAATCCACATCCCAAGCATTAAAGATCTCATAGAGCAATGTTCAATCCACCGTCAGACATTAGGAAGTCCTGACCTCAAAATCAATCTGAATTTTTAAATAAAAGCATGTATATCCTTCCTCCCGACTATTAAACACTTTTTGGTGTTGCTGTCTCATAAAATCCCCCAGAACCAGAACGTACGTTGGACCAATGTGACCAAAGCACCAGCTGTTTGAAAAGGTTCCAGATTAACGCTCATCATTTCTAAGCTTCCTGTGGCGTATTTAACCGTTTCCTGTTTGTTACCCAGGTAAGAAATGAGGCGTGTGCTGCTACGCGTTGAAGGAGTCAGAGCCACATCCAGACCTCTGCTGTGCTTCCACTGAGGTCCTGATCCACCAGAACCAGAACCTGCTGCCTTTACAGATGGAGATGAACTGATGAATTTGAAGGCGATTGCTGTGTTTCATTCCAGTTTGTTCCTGGGACAGAGAGAGAGAGAGACGTGTTGGGAATGGGCAGATGATTGAATAAAGAGTCTTGTACTAACAGGTTTAGCTCTTGTTTGTCTTTTATTCTCCAGCTCTTTAACTTCACACTGGAAATATTTCTGCCTTCTTGAGCCTAGAAGTTCCCAAGTTTAAGAAGAAACAAATCTGCTTGGTTTTTGGTAACTAACGTACTTTATCAGGTTAAATAATTAAACATGAACTGACTGAGGCGTTGCTCTCTGTGACTTTACCATTGTTAGTTTTTAGGTGACATTAGCAGACTGAACACAAAGTAATGACATTTTTAATAGTTCAATAATTAATTTTGAGGGAATATTTGGTGCTATATTTTATTTTAAGGGAGTTCCTTGCATGTCTGACTGAGGCCTGCAGACTGTGTGTCACCAGCAGGGGGAGACAAAGACCTAAAAGTAAACAAAAATCTGTTTTTATTCATTCAGATGACATCATCAAACCAAACGGCTTGGTTCAAGTAGTGAGTTTACTTAAACTGTTCAGGTCTGAAGTATTTCTGATTTTTTTTTTTTTTTTCTCAAACTTTTTCCTTTTACTGTAAAACGTTTTTACAGATGTGTAAAGCTTTAGTTTATGTGCTAAATGAAACAGACAGCAAATAAAAACAGATCTATCCGAAACCTCTCAGCTCTAGTAAATAAAGATAAACGGATCGGGCTTCAACCGGTCGGTTTCTGGTTTTCTTTGAGTTCTGCGCTGCAGGTTTGTTTGTCGAGGAAAGAACTTCAACATGCAACAGAAAATGAAAGAGTCACAAGTTTTTGCACAAAAGCAGAAACCCCCAAAGCAAATGAGCCTGAGGCTTGCGGACACAAAGTCCTCTCACCGATTCTCAGTTGGATTGAGATCTAGACTTTGACTAGACCGTTTTTGCGCTTTAATATGCAACGACTGTGATGTCAGCAGCTTTCTTATTGCCACTCCTCCATTTAAGACACTTTTCTGGGTTGTAAGACTCAATGCTGTCTTGTGGACGGCTTCTCCCACCTGAGCCTTGGATCCATGCAGCTCCTCCAGACTAACCAGGAGCCTCGTCGCAGTTTTCCTTCATCCCTGGCCTGTTCAGACGGACCTCACGTCTTGGTGGGTTTCATACTCTTTGCATCTTCACATGATAGATTGAACAGTGAATATTCTGTCAGTTATGCTCTTTGTTTTAGTCCGTAACAGAATCTCAATAAAATTTATTGACATTTGTAACCTAACACAACTCCGCAGACATATTAAGCTGCTGTAAATCATCACATGTCGATCCTGATCTGTGTATTTTAAGGTGACTGTGTTCCCCTTCATGTGGTCAGCTAGAGATCCAGAGGGTCTGCAGTTCCTCTGACTCCACGCCCAGCCTGGCTGACCCGGCGCCTCTTCACCCAGTGTCGGCCCAGCCCCAAATAACTTTCATTCTGCTCCTGCTGACCATCAGCGACCCCCTCCTCACCACACTGGGAGGAGAAAGTGTGGTGAGGCGGAGTGCGTCTCGGGGAAAGTAAGAAGACGAGAGCATGGATTTTGGTCCTGGAAGGTTCACCCGGAGCGGATTGTGGAGTTTTTCCAACGCTGAGCGTTGGGTCTGGACCCGCCGCTGATGATGCGGAGCTGTGGAAGTCGATTTGTTGAAGAACTTTGAACGTTTTGCCTCATGTGATCGAGGGGGATCGAGGTCAGCGGAGAGGTGAGAGTCCCATTGCCGGCCCAGGCTAAGTTCTGACAGAAGATCTCTGAAATGTGTTTCCCCAGCCGTCTGTCTCGGCATGCTGCGATTCACCTTTCTCCTCTTATTGTGACACAATATCCAAAGGCAGGGGGGTACTGATCCCCCCCCTGACTGGATCAGGTTTTGATCCGGTCACAGCATTTTGTTTTCCTGGGGGACGAGTTCACGTTTCGGATCAGTACCAGTGACATGAAGTTCAGCTGCCCAAGCAGGATTTTCTGCTTTGCAACCCAGAACAGAAATATTTAGTTTTTGGACAGGAGTCCAACCTGTAGCTAGAGCAAAAAGATCCAGAGGTTTTTACTCAATCAGAGCAGGAATTAGAAGAAACTAAAGAGTCCAGAGAAACTCTTATCAGTTTATCCAGAGAAACATCATCAACGTTATCAGACCAGGAATCCAGAGAAACCCCTACTAGTTTATAGGTCACTGACTACTCATCCTTAAACATGTTGTCTTCTTTTGCCCTTTCCTTTGGTTTGCTGTTTTGATGTACTTCCTTCTAATTTATGTAAAGCGACATAGGGTCTTTACCAGTCTACCCAATCAGTCAGTCATCAGCTCATTTTTTACGTGAACTGGAATAAAAGCAACAAGAACTGAATTTTTTTTTTTTTTACTCTTTTTGATCTTTTTTGACTGTGTAAACCAGAATCCATGGTGCATCGGGCTTTGAACAAATAGTCACTACATTATTTTTTTTTAAGTCAGCGCTTTATAAGACTAGGAGTCGCACACCGGATAGACAGCGAGGGAACGTTCAACCAATTAAGATGGAAACGTAAGAAAACCCCTACATCTCTTACCACGAGGAAATGTCACCCTGTTTCTTTGCTTCACAGATGTCCTGAAGAAAGAAAACCCCCAACAAACCTGTGCTGAACCTGAAGCGTCGAGCTGTTTCTGGACGCCGAGTCATTCTCCTGTCAGCCATGGACTCCCAGGGGAGTCCGTACCTCAACAAGGGGGCTCTCTGCTCCACCCTGGGAGGCGCCAGGATCTGCCAGCTAGCGATGGGCTGTGCTGTGATCGCGATGGTGACCCACAGCGCCGGGCACAGCGGGCCGCAGGGCGTGTTCTGCATGGCGGCCTGGTGCTGCTGCTTCGCCGTGTCGGCGGCCGTCTTCTTCCTGGACGCCACCCGTCTCTACAGCTGCCTCCGGGTGTCCTGGGACAACCTGACGGTCACCTGGGCTGCCTGCGCCACGCTCATGTAGGTGACAGAAATCACCAAATAATCGTTTATCTGCAGATTTTACCCCCCAGTATTCAACTCAAGTTTGTTTCTATAGCACATTGCAGCAACAAGGCAGTTCAAAGTGCCTTGCATCATGAATATTATTTCATAATACCAATTAGGAAACAATCAGTAAACATTATGTTTTGTCAAATACGATGGTCAAAATCAACAAGCAAGTATAGACTGGAGATGCCCTCTGGTTGGTCTCCAGAACTGGAGATCGCCTTCGGACTGACGTATCCGACCGACCGACTGCTCAATTTCTCCAAAGTTATGAGTGTTTGTGATGTTATGCGTCACCCTGTTGAGCTGTGATGATCTTGTGACATTTCCAGAATGTACCGCATCTCCTACCTGGTGGTAGGAAATGCGGTACATCTTTTGATTTCCTAAATCAATATACAATTGATTTAGGAAATCACCACCGTCAATCAATCGGTTTTAAGATCTTGCTCTTGCCTCGATTTGCTGAACTTGAGTGTGCTGTGACGTAAAAACCCAGAGAGATGAACCCGTCTTCCTGTCTCCTTTCTGCGCTGCAGGTACGTGACGGCCTCCGTGGTTTACCCGCTGTTCTTCGTCAGGTCCGAGTGTCCGTACGAAGGCTGCGAAGTCCGAGACTTCCGCATCGCCGTCACCGTCTGCTCCATCCTGGGAACTCTGGCCTACGGAGCCGAAGTGGCCCTGTGCCGGGCCAGACCGGGCCAGATCGTGGTGGGCTACATGGCTACCATCCCCGGCCTTCTGAAAGTGGTGCAGGCCTTCGTCGCCTGCATCATCTTTGGCGCTCTGGCCAACGGGAGCCAGTTCTCGCGTTACGCCGCCACAATCTACTGTGTTGTCGTCTACGCTTCCTGCTTTGCTCTCACCGCCCTGGTGGTCATGATGACCGTGTGCAAACGCACCAAAACTGTGAGGTGCATGCCCTTCGATCGCTTCGTAGTGGTGTGCACCTTCCTGGAGGTTTTGCTCTACCTGAGCGCCTCGGTGGTGTGGCCAGTTTTCTGCTTTGACTCAAAATATGGGTCTGCATGGAGACCTTCGTCGTGTCCGCAAGGGAAGTGTCCTTGGGACAGCAAAGTGGTGGTGGCCGTGTTCTCTTGTGTGAATTTTGGGCTTTATCTGACAGACCTGCTGTACTCACAGAGGATCCGATTTGCTTCGTCACGCGTTCCCACCAACACGCGGGTGTAGAACCACTCAGAACCCTAAAAACTGTCAATCCAGTGTCACATGAACTATTCAGAAAGTTACAATACTTCTTGTGTTCTGAATTTTCCTTTCAATGTTTTTACTTGACAAAGGCCACATGTTGTGCGTGCGGCGTGTCCTTCAAAATGGAGGAATGATAACAATTATCTGGGGTGAAATTTTAAAACATTGAATGACAGTCACGTGTTTTAAAAAATATCTGTTGAAAGAAATATCGAAAATATCCTACAAATATCACCATGATGAACGTGTCATCATGTAGGACGTTTTCAGCTGGTTACTTTTTCGAAGTCACATTTTTACACGTCGGACACTTTTGGGTTGTTATTCTCATTCAGGTAAAGGAAACTGAACACGATTGTGTCTCTGTGACGCCGTGCTTTCAACAAGACCGCGCTTGAAATGGGTTCTCTGAGCTGCGACTGATTTCTAAACAACACAACATTGGTTGATCTTGACATGAGGAGGATTATGAGTCATTTCCTCTCTTTGTGATTTCACACTTGTGTAGTTTTAGATTTTTGCATCCCACGTTTTTTGATGTGCAAAAAGGAGCGACCCGTGCCAGGATGTTCTTATCGATCACGTTTGCTGCCTCATGGGCAACGCTTTTAAATTAATTGTTCATAATTTACCCAGAATGTGCTGGAAGGAAGTTTGATTACGGGACTTCAGTTATTTTAGTCAGCGGGTCATAATCTGTCATATTTATTGTTTCTTAAGTTTTATGAGATTATTTCTTATTGCATTGCCAAAATCAGAAAAGATGCAACATAAAAACACCAGAGAAAAGCTTGCCATTATGTAACATTATGCATGACATTTTAGATCTTTATGTTTTTACAGTTCATCTGGGAAGGAGTCAAAACTCTTCACTTTGTCTTAATTTCATGTGACATCCTTTTAATATTTAATTTTTTTTATTATCTTTTATTACAAAGTGAAAAGAGTGGTTTGGGAATGAAAATCATATGTACGTAAGTATCACACCCATTGCTGTTTGTATTTGTAGGACATCAAATACAAATAAATACACAATAATTAAGCTTGAAATATGGGAATGAAAAAAGGTTTGTTTATGGGTAAAATAAAGATAAATGGAAGAAGAAATTTCCTAAATAGCAACATGTGGGCATAAAATAGTGGGAATTAATGGCCAAAAGGGTGAAATGGTCCCAAGCCTATTTGTGGTTTCATAAAGAAATAAATATTCCTCATAAGATGATGAAGTACTGAAGTAAGAATTCACGTCTGGAAATTCAGGAAAGAAAGTTTTTACACAACTCATGGTTTAGAAATTATCTCAACCATCTGAGACACTTGAAATAATGTGACTGATCCTGACATGCATGGAGGCCACAGCTCCTGAAACACAGACACACACACACACACACACACTTCAATCCAAAGAACTGCTGAGGAGTTTCTCCTCTCCGACGCGTCCCACAGAAATGACATCCTACCTCTTTAAATAATCCCCTGACCCATTCCTGACCCAAGCTTTCTCAGACCTGCACATACATAAGTAAACCATCCAAACACGACACTTTTTGTCTGTGGATTAACACATGCTGTCCTGCAGCTTGACTGTCGGTGAAAATAACGCATAAAGTGTGTAGCGTAAATTGTACATCTGGTGATGGCATCTGTGGTATCCCTGCCATCTCCAAACCCCACACCCAGCAATTCACAGACTGCCGAAAATAAACACCAGCCGTCTGCAGTCACTCTGAAGCAGTGACACTGCATTTATAGGAAGCCATCTGATGTCAAAGCTGCTTGGGGAATGTCTTTTTTGTTAACGTGTACAAAGAAAATGGACAGCAGTTTTTAGAAAGAGCAGAGGACTTTTTCTCCAGATTACCTTCAGCTTGAACACACCAGTATGATCACACTGACAACAAGGTCGATGTGTCCGAGCAATCTTTGTGTGTTTACACTCCAAACATGGCCCTGACAGGTCAAATCTGTCATGTACTCTGGCTGTTCAAATGATCTCTGAAGTTAAACTATATATATATATATATATATATATATATATATATATATATATATATAATATATATATATATATATATATATATATATATATATATATATATATTTTTTTTTTTTTTTTTTTTTTTTTTTTTTGATTTTCCAGAAAGTGAATGTGGAGCAGCAAACATCCTGTAAAACTGTCCAGCCGTGAATCCGACACCAGCTGGCCGCTTCATGTGTTCAAATCTGACTAAGACTGCTGAGGACGTCACTGTGTGATTTAGAGCTTTGCTGCTTTACTCGTTCTGCCAATATTTGTGATTTACAGAGTGAAACTCGGAGACTAATGTATGATTGCAAACAATTAGAGACCAAAGCGGTGAAAGCTTTCGCAGTCTGTCACAGCAGAGCCCTACTCTCCCCCGTTTTCAGCAGCCGCTTCATGCATAGCGCTCTTCTCTTCCTCCCTGCTGGCCTCCGTCTCGAGCAGCGGAGACACTCTGCAGACGGGGACGAGCTGTGACAGGTGTCCATCATGGCTGTCCCCTCCGGATTTCCGCACAGAGGGACGGGGCACGGCTGGTCTACGACTAATCTCTGATGTCATGGGCTGCTGATGCAGTTTCCTCCCTGAAGCTCCGGGCTTTGGCTTGACCAAATCTTGAGTGGATTGTTGCCAGCATCTGAATCCCCTCCCTCTCTCTCAGAATTAGAAAGATTGCTGTACTTTTGTCACAGCAACTTTAAAAGCAACATTCTATAGGCAATATTCACTTTCATTTTATACCTTGGAGCTTTTCAGCTGCTCTTTGAGATCATGTTCGTCATGTGTTTATGTTTCATGTTATCTGAGGCGTAATCACCTGCGTGAAGTCGGGCCCCATCTTCTTCAAATCGAACAAAATTAGCGTCAAACCTTTTTGTGCTGCATTTGTGCAGAAATTTTTTTCTTTTTTTTTCCTGCTACCATTTTAAAGATATTGATAGATATTTCCAGAAGTCATCAAAGGTCAGCCACATTTACAAAATCAAGCAAAATTTGGCGCCAATCAACATGGAGCAATTCATTCATATGAAGTTCCTTTGATTTTTATCATTTGTGTGGGCGGAGGTTGACCTCTGGTGACCTCTGCTGACCTCTGGACACTTTATTTTTAATCTTACCAATTATAACGGCACAAACGATCCTTTTTCACTGCACAAACACAGGACAAACACAGCATAGTTGATTGACACCATATTTCTTTTGGTTGCGTAAATGTGGACTGGCTGGTTAACCTTCGATGACCTCTGAAATGTTTACAAATACCTTTAAAGGGACAGCAGCACAAATGAAACTGGTTTGCCGCGCAAAGCAACACAAGCATCTGACAGCAATTTTGTTCAATTTGAAGAAGGAGAGAAGAACTTCACTCAGGTGGAATAATTTTCTGGGGTTTTGTTGAGAAATTGGGAGGAGTCAGTGTGTATGACATGATGATTTTAAACATTTGAAAGTTTAAATTTGAATACAGTGTATAAAAAGAAATGTAATCATTTTCTTGATTTAGGTCAGTTCGGTGACCAGACCTGAGCGATCAAATACTTATTTCTAATTGATTATTTAACAATCATAGAGTGTGATTTTCTGGATTTTGCTTAGATTCTGTTTCTCACAGCTGAAAACTACAAACCTCTCTGCCCGCTGACTTGCTTTCATGACACGCATGCACCAAAACAGTCTGTCGTGACTTTTTCTCCTGGATCCGCCAGTTTAATACATTCCAGCTTTCGGGTCATTTTTAGGAATCTCTCAGTGTTTCATCAAACAAGAGCAACGTCATGTCGTGCCTCGGCGCTCACACAGAGTCTGAGTCATGGGTAAAAGGGACAGGCGCAGGCAGCGGGAAGCTTTGTGCGTCAGTCAGACTGAGAGGAAGAGCCACAGGGAGAAACTGCAAAGCGCTTCAGCAAGTATAAAGCTGCGGTGTGTAACTTTTTCACATATTTGTTCAAACTGTAACTGTGTCGTCACAGCATAATTTGAGACGGATAAAAAATTAGACGGAAAAAAGTCGAAGCTCTGCTGCCTTCTCCCATCTGCAGAAATAGACCACTCAGTCAGAAACAATGTCAGGAGGAGGGTCTTAGCGCTCCTGTACTGAACCTGCACACTCCAAGCGAACAGAGAAACGAACAAAATCCAGATTAAAACTGAGTCAGATGAGTAGAGGTGAACCGACGGACAGCAGGCGGCATAAAGACTCAACCAAATCCGGAGTGAACAAGATCCTTGATTTAGACTTTACTTGTATTTTTGTTTTTGGAACAAGAAGTTCTGCTCCTGTCCGACTGACTTAACGAGGATCTGAACAGCTGATGGTCCCGGGCCACCAGCTGCATTTGGCTTTAAATATAGACATGAACATAGAGCCCACCATCCCAAGTCTGCATTCCTGTGAGGAAATGAATGTGGTGCCTTAGGGGAGCAGGCATACCAACTTCCTAATGTATAGAGTAAATTTAGCCTTGTGTGGCATGAGAGACATTAAAGGAAGTAGTCGGAGAGAAGCGTTGGTCCTTTCAATGTCTGCACAGTGAAGAAGAGGATGCTCTGCTGGGAGGGAAATTACAAAAGGTTCAGGTTTTACAAAAGGTTTGTGTGGAGCACCTCTGAGCAGTCAGACAGAAATCAGAAATGCTAACACTCAGATCTTAACAAAAAAAACCCCCAAAGTATTACAAAATTCACAGCTTCTCTAGCATTTGATACAATTTCTACAGCATATATATTGGAGCTCATGAGTTTTGTTTTAGACAAATGTTTTTTCTGTTGCTATTTTCTGGAGGAAAATAGCAACATTTCAGAGCAACAGTGTGGCTTAGTGAGTCGTCCTACATCAGTTCTTCTGTTCTCGTTTGTGTGTCTCTGCTGTGTCTCCACAGACCCTCGGTTGGTTGTGACGGGCGATTGCTCATATTGAACCAGGCTCTGCTGGAGGGTTTCTTTTTCTGTCAAAGGGGAGTTTTTCCTCCTCACTGTCGCTACATGCTCAGTAGTGAACGCTGGAAGTCAATGACTCAACAAAATCCACTGGCTTTCCTTGGACAGAAAGCTTTTTAAACTAATTTAAACGACAAAGTGAACTTAATGCACTGTTTGGAAACTAGGATAAGTTGGAATCTATGTGATTAATTGAAATGGAATGACTGTGCATTGAGATGACTTGTGTATTGGCACAACATAAATAAACTGAATGGAAAACTTTAACAAAGAAATGGTGAAGAGTCTTTGTTGTGCTGGTTTTCTGCTTACTTAAGGCTCTTTCTGTATGAAAATGGTCTATAAAAAGTTTGATTGGTCGACAAAGTGGTGTAGGATGGATGGATGGATGGATGGATGGATGGATGGATGGATGGATGGATGGATGGATGGATGGATGGATGATGGATGGATGGATAGATAGATAGATAGATAGATAGATAGATAGATAGATAGATTTGCAGTCAAACAGCACTTTATACAAAACATGACCTACTTTCTACATCACTGCGCTTCACTATCATCCTTAGCGCTGAAACTCAGAGGAATGATGCAACTGGGCGTAGAGAACGTTAGGTCCCGCCCACGTCTCACATTTTCCATTTTAATTGGTCGAATCCTCGGAACGTCTGTTCGTGATTGGTCAAATCCCCTTTCAGTGCACATGGGGGCTGAGTTAAGGAAAAAAAAAGAAAAGAAAAGGGGAAGCCACGTTGACACAAGAAGTGTGTTTCTTTTCGTGTCCCGGGAAATAAAGGTCACGTCGACAACTGTCTGTTCAGCTGGAGCGTCAACAGTAAGACATGTGTTGGTTTGTATGACTAGCAGTTTAATCTCCGGAAACCCGGGCTAGCAAGAGGCGACCTGCTGCGTTCGGGAGAGCTAGCATCACAAAAGGAAGAAACTAGCTGGTCTAGCTCCATGGTATCACACTTAGTTCAGGGTTTAACTGAACCGCAGCACAGTTTACAAAGATTCATCTTTTATTTTGTCTCATTAGGATGTATTTCTGAACTGACAATGAAATAAAGCATGCTTTTGTTGTTATGAAGGAAACTGTCAAACAGTGACGTTCCCTCCCAGATAAAACAATGTTTGTGTCTATTTGCAGAACTTTTTCCTCATGTTTGATCCCCACCAGCTTCACTTTTACGTTTTTGATCAAGCTCGACTTGAAAACTTGTATAGAAGCCGCTATGTTTGTTTGTTTGTTCTTTTCTTTTATTTTTTTTTATTTTTTAAAAAGGACAGATGTTGATCTTGCAGCATCTGTCTGCTTTTCCGGACAGGTCGTGAACGCCACATCATCTGTCAGGATGAGCGTCGGGTTCATTGGAGCAGGCCAGCTGGCTCATGCACTTGTGAAAGGTTTCACTGCTGCAGGTAAAGATTTCTGCAAATATTTATCTGTTTATATGTTTTTTTTAGTTAGTTAGTTAGTTAGTTAGTTAGTTAGTTAGTATTAATCAACCAGGACATCTTTCATTCCAACTTGCTGGAAAGCACAGACTGATGGAAATAATGGCATCTTACTGCAATACAGCCCACATTGATATCGCAGCAACAAGTGGGACTTTATATATTGTGCTTCTTTTCTTATTAAATGACATGCTTTTTAAACAGGTACTAAACATTTCCCATGTCTATACAGACCAATGCGTTCCCATGCCGTTCCAGATGTCTTTCTTTCTTTTTCTCTTCCTTTCTTTTTTGTCCAAAAACGTGTAAAGTGAAAAGGTCAAAATGACCAGCACCTCAGATGACTCTTCATCTCTCTGTGTTTTCAGCCACTGAGACGTTTTCCATCCTCAGTTTCCGCTGCAGTGTGATTCGGAAGCCCAAATGTGAATGATTCAATGCGGCTTTCAAACATTTGCATTCAAAACTTGTTTGTCTTTAGTTTTAACAAGGTTCTGGGCAGGTGCTTGAAATCCTTGAAAGTCTTTGAATTTCAATCAGGTGTTTTCAGTGCATAAAGACCTTTTAAAGTTCTTAATATTCAAACTGCGTAGTTTTATAATAAAGTCCAATCTAACATTTAAATAAAAGCCTAAATTTGTGAAACATTATTTGTCAGATTTTTAAAGACAGACACTTTTTTGTTTCTCCCCGTCTTCTGTTAAATCAGACTCAACTTTTCTTGTTTTAAGTCAGTTAGATTTGCCAAAATTATTTCTATGTGCTAAATTCCTGAAAACATTAATAACATCAATCAATTATGTCATAAAATAGCAAAGTTAGACTTTTTAAATTCGTTTGTATTGTTTTTATCTCCAAAGAGTGAAAAGTTTGAAAGCTTACCTTGAAAATTGCTTGAATTTTCCTGTGGGAATAAATAGTTTTTGAATCCTGTTTAATGGATCAACAGAATCATAAGGTAATCTCAGACCAGCTGATATTGTCTTCGGTAGTTTCCTGTTTGGCGTCAACCTATGCAGCTCTACTTATTTGAATGTTTATCGTCTCGTCGTCCTTTCCTTCAGGTGTGATCGCAGCCCACAGGATCACAGCCAGCTCCCCAGACACAGACCTGCCCACAGTGACGGGGCTGAGGGTGAGGCTTGGCTGCGTCATGTTTTGAAATGTGTGAAATAAAGAATGTGCCTTTCTTTAGTGCAATTTTTTACTTTTTTTTAAAGTCCCGTGTTTCTTGTTTTTCCTTTAGAAAATGGGGGTGAATCTGACCACGAGCAACAAAGAAACGGTCAACAGGAGCGACGTTTTGTTTCTGGCAGTGAAGCCCCACATCATCCCCTTCGTCCTGGACGAGATCGGACCGGACATCGAAGACCGCCATCTCATCGTCTCCTGTGCTGCAGGCGTCACCATCAGCTCCATAGAGAAAGTAAAGCTCTCAACCTTTTCTACGCCCTTCCTTTCAGAGATCTGGTTATAGCTCTGATGTGACTCTCTTTCACACACCTGCCGTGTTTTTTTTTTCTTTTCCTCTTCTCTGGTTGATGCAGAAACTGCTGCAGCACCGTTCGACTCCCAGAGTCATGAGATGTATGACCAACACTCCTGTCGTGGTGCGCGAGGGCGCCACCGTGTACGCCACAGGAACACACGCAGAGGTCAGTGGGCGGATTAGTGCGCTGCTCCAGCAGAGAGAAACTATTCCTCTTTGGAAAACATGATGAATTGATGAATGTAATCTGAAAAGAAGAGCTGGACATTGACGACACACGTGCGTGGTTTTGATGAAGGTGGAGGATGGGAAGCTGCTGGAGCAGCTGATGGCCAGTGTTGGGTTCTGCACAGAGGTGGAGGAGGACCTGATTGATGCTGTGACTGGACTGAGTGGCAGTGGACCCGCCTACGTGAGTGAAGCTCTGTTTTTCAACAGAATTTGGACCAGGTGAAGCTAAAATCGCCACTTGATTAGTTCTAGGTGAACCGCGCCGACTGTTATTTTGGTATGTTTCAGAGTCCAGCTTCACAGACTCTCAGGTTATTGATTAATGTGACAATTATTTCAATAATCGATTAAACATAAATAATTAGATTAATCTTTTCAACCCTAATCAAAATCTAAATTCTACATCTAGGCTTTAAATACGAATTGAGGAACTTCATTTTCAGTTTTCTGCACGCAGTTTTAAATATCACTGGGAGCTAAACCGGCCCAGAGTACTATGCTGCCACCACTGTGCTGTATCTTTGAAATGATGCAGAAATGTGGAGAGAGAAGAAGAATGAACTACTTTTATCTAGTTAAAGCTTTTGTAAGAATGCAGGAAGTATCTCAGTGTTGTTAATAACTTTATATTGGCAACATAAATCCATTCTGCTGTCTTCAGTCAGAGGCTTCATCACAATAGCTTTAACACAGACTGCTACAGGAGTTCCGTCCTGCCCATGCCCATCAGCATTTACATCAGTAATCTTAAAGATATATTGTTGTGTTAAATTTGAAAGAAGGACCGAAGCGTAAACGAGTTAATGATGTTATGTTTTCATGAATGTAGTTTTTCCTGACGGCAGATCTTGACTTTTTCTGTCAAACAATAATTCTTAGAGGGCAGCGTAATTAGAAAAGCAACCGTACAACAGATGAATCCCAGATATTTATGATGCAGCTTGAACTTGTCCTTCTCTTTGGTTTTGTGTTTCGTGTGTTTTTTTTTAACTAGGCTTTCACAGCCCTGGACGCTCTTGCAGACGGAGGCGTGAAGATGGGTCTGCCCAGGAGGCTCGCCGTCAGACTCGGCGCTCAGGCTATCTTGGTGAGTTCTCTGATGTTTGTGCATCAGGTGTTTCACCGCATGTTAGGAGGCAAAAAAAATGATCATTAATGTCTTGCATAATTTAAAATGACTGACAGAGAGACGTTTCTTTTCAGTATTAATGATACTGCAGAGAAACCAAGAGGTATAGTAGATTCTGACCTAAAAATAAAAGGACACCATTCTTGTTTTGTTTTTGTTTTTGACTTATGTTTTTCCACCATGTGAAATATCAGAATTATTTCAGCTGTTTTGGTTGGAGCTTGAGTTGCTATAGCTGTGTTGGTCCTGATGTTCCTCAGGGAGCAGCCAAGATGCTGCTGGACTCTGAGCAGCACCCCGGCCAGCTGAAGGACAACGTCTGCTCACCAGGGGGCGCCACCATCCACGCCCTGCACTTCTTGGAGAGCGGTGGCTTTAGAAGCCTCCTGATCAACGCGGTGGAGGCTTCATGCATCAGGACCAGGTGAGGCTGTCGCATCACAAAATCCATATTTCACATCAACAATGAAAGAAAGATGCTTCTTTTTTTGTAAACATGATTGTTTTGTTTTATGCAATTTTAGAGCGTCTTGCTAAAGTATTCATGCACAAATGAACCTTTTCACACTTTATTATGTCGCGAACTTTAATTTTGTAGAGTCACATTTTGTTGCAGTTGATCTTTTGTGTCGTCTCTGGCAGCTTTGCACTTGGAGACCAAAAGGTTTGCCCATCCAACTCAGATTATTCATTTAACCACTTCAGCCTTTTTGATGCAATACTTGAAATGCATTGAAAGATGCAAATAAACTGATAATTCAGTTTCTTTTTTAAATAAAAAAATAAACATTTTCTTGGCTAGTATGCAACAAAGTAGAATCATTTTATTAAATACTTGATCATTTACATCTAAGCATGCGTCTGCTAACATCAATATGTGATGTTGACAATAATACGGTACAAGGATAATCTGTTGGGTTTTTTTTAAACATATTAATTATTTCACAGCAAAATGTGCTTAATTGGAGATTTTATTTTTACAGAATTTGAACCAGGTGACGTTAAAAATTATGCCAGTTGAGGAGTTTTGGGTTCAACATATTTACAAATAAAGAAGCTTTTTTTTTCCATCATAAATGAAACAATTGTGTATTTATTCTTTACATTTTTGGCTTAATTACTGTTTTGTTCTTTCAGCAAATGGTATGTTTTACAGTCTGAATACTCCAGTTAACAATCAATTATGGAAGTAGCTGAGGATTATTTCAACAATCGGTTAATCTTAATTAATCCAATTAATTGTTTCAGTCCTGCTGTTCACTAATTAACTGACTATTGAAGGCAATAGTTGGTACCATAGTAAAGTGGGCTGAATACAAAAGCCTGCCACACTTCTCAGTTTTTTGTTTTATTTTTTTCCCATTTGTGAAATATTTGAAAGTGAGCAATTTTTTTTTGTTTTTGACACAGTTAAATTTGACTAAACAACTCCTGAATGGGTGTGTTTATTTTTATTACTCCATGCAGAGAGCTGCAGTTCCTTGCGGATCAAGAGTGCATCTCTCCGGCAGCCATTAAGAAAACCACCCTGGATAAAGTGTTGCAGCAACCCGGAGTTGGAGTCGCCGGGGACGCCGGCGGGAACGGCCGGTCGGGCCTCAACCTCTTCAACAACCGCACGTCTGGGATCAAAAAGAAGAACTGAGAGCAGAGATCGGCACGCGGAAAGACGGGCATGCTGCAGGTCCACGTCTAAACATGCAGACTCACAACGGGTCGCCAACCGCCGTCCAACCGTAGGATTAAACAGTGGACTCAGGACTGAAGTCACCAACAAAATCAATTTCTGGTGTTTTTTTTATTCGTGCGAGAGCCAGGAACACATACATTTCACACAGGCAGAGGAGTGATCTGCACAGCTGGCGCCTCCTGCTGTGATTATACATGAACACAAGTCCAGTTAGAGAAACCAGAAGAACCAAAGGTGCTACTGTGCTGTTTTTGCAGCCTTAAACCTCCATCATGTTCCACGTTATCTTCAGGTTTTTACTTTTGGCATAAAGTTAACAATGTTCATCCAATGTTATGTCAGGGATTTTGTCCCCTGTAGAAAAAAAACAACAGTTTTTTTTTGTTATATAACAATAACTTTGTCATCCTATGTTTTCTCTGAAAGCCCAAAGAGAATTTTTATGTTTTCCTTTCTGCAAATGTGATGTAATTACCTATAAGTGCTACAATAAAGCTTAAACAAGGTGCATTAAAAAGCACAGTTCATTACATATATTAATGAATTTCTCTCTAAATAAGGTGTCTAGTAATATTTGTTTTCTCCACAGTTTATTCAGAATAATTTTTTCGGAGTCTGAGCCTTTAAAGGTTTTTATCATTATTTCCAGTAATTTTAATTTATGAGTATAAAAGAGCTTTTACTCTGCAACACGGTTATTCTTGCCTGTTTTGTAAAGCCAGACTAGTAAATCATCCCCTTAGCATGATGCTGCCCCTGCTGTGTTTGAGATTTGGTTTCTTTGTCCGTTTGAAACACTTGTGGCGATTTCCTTTCATCTGATGGGAAATTGGCGTCAGTAACGGTCACTAACTGGGTCAGATCGACGGCCATAACTGTGCGTTCCTACGAGAGAATAATCCCAAACTGGTTATGGAACAAATGAAGCAGACCATATAGACGATCTTCTCCAAGCCTCAACCTGAACGTTAAAGCTGCAGAATGTAACTTTTATAAATGTTTTTTTTTTCCACGTTTGTCAAAACCTATCACTATGCGATGACATTAATAATATGAGACAGATAAAGTGTGAAAAAAATTCAGCACCTTTAGCTTTTCTCAGTATTTCTCCTGCCATCTACAGAAATGCACCCTTCGCTCAGAAACAACCAATCAGAGCCAGAAGGCAGGTCTTAATGCTGTCAATCACCTTGTGTATGAGCTGCTCAGAGCTTTTCACTTGCTCTCTGATATGCTGCAGCTGGTTCACCACAAACGATCCTGTCATGAAAGCTCAGGGTAGTTACAATGACATCTGAAGAGGATGGATAAACTTTTACTTGTCCTCTTTTACATATCTGTTAAAACTCGCTAAGTTGTGACAGTTTATTGTGAGACAGATGACTTATTCACTGATGACGGTGGATGAGTGGGTTGCCTGGAAAGGTAAGTTTCACTAGCATGATTGCTGAAAGTCAGAAGAAGCATGTTGGTAAAACTTTTCAGAAAAACATTAAAACTGGGTGTAACTGTATAGAACCGCAACAAATTAAACACACAATTTATTTTTTTTTTTTTTTACGTCATTGCTGTTCATTTCAGTCTGAGGAAGAAAAAAATTCAAATGCATCATGTACAAACACTTAAACTCATGCCAATTATGAGCTTTTCTCTCATATCCGTTAATCAGTTAATAGGTTTCCAATCAGTCCTCCAGATGGCGCTCTTTAATCAACTTGCCTGGGATATAAACAGTTAGGAGGATCAAATCACCTTCATGCCACTGCCAGTGGAGGGTAACTTTAACTTGACCCTAACCTTGGATTAAATATAACCTCACCTCCATAATTATCAGTAAACAGCTTCAACTGCGTTGCCACGACGACATGTTTCCCCCTCTGTGGTGTTTTTATTTTTGCCTCCTGCTGTGGGTCAGCGCCTCCTGAATTCTTTCCAATCAAATCCTCTCCTGCTAAAATTAGCACAGAAATGCTTAAAAAAGGAAAAGCGCTAACGTGTTTTTATTTTTTTGCGCTCTTCAGTGGGCCCCGAGGCGAGCTGTGATTGGCTGTAATAGGAGGAAACACAGGCCGGTTTTAGAAGGCCTCAATGGCCGCTCAGGTCTTTCTACATGGATACAAGAAGTACCGGAGGATTTCTCTTTTTTTTTCAAGCTTACCGAAACGACACCAAACTTGCTGGCTCAACACGCTGTTATTGTTTGAAAGCAGAAGCTTTTTCAAGAACGGGGCGTTAAAAGTTCGGAGGGTCGGCACAATCACAGGCTGCAACTTCCCACAATTACAGAAAGGCTTCGGGAGAAAACTCTGGAGAACACATCTATCCTTCAAAGTCTCGTCCACATTCTCACAGAATGTTTGCAGTCTAGTTTCAAGTGCAAATATTTCAGTACTTTTGAAATAGCACCAAACTGACGTCCAAGTGACTCGTTAAGATACAAGTGTGACCGGTGGACTTCTGCGTCGTGTTTGTGAGTAACAAAAGGGAAATGAATAACTCTAATATTTATAATAGTCCTGGAGGACCATGAACAAGAGAAGAAGAAAGTAAGGCGGAGCTGGAGCACCAAACCCCTTATAGCAGACACAGAGGAACACAAGGACAGTCCACTATAAGTGGACAAATACATTAAAGAAAACATTTTCTGAAAATATATAACTATTAATATAGACTCAGTCACACAAGCACCTTGTATCTTATAATAAACAATGTTATTGCTTTAAGTCAATAATAAAATTGGGGAAACAGTCTTATAAATAAAATAATCAGTGTAGAAGTAGTACCTTTTTTTAAAATCGATATTTAAGGAATTATTGTCTTAAAACAACTTCCTGTACTTTGCTGAAGTTTCTTGTGGGTTCGTAACTTTTAAGCTTTGCTTTTTTTCGTAAAATGTAAAAACTTTTCCAAGATTATTTCTTTCCTAAAAATTCAGAAGAAACAGATTTCACGAGAACATGAAAGCAACGTCGGGATGCAGAAACGTTCCTCTCTGCGTCTGGCTGCTTGTGAGCTTAAAACCTAAATATCAGAGAGTTTTCTAAGAGTTTGATAGCAGAGGACAAAGAGCAGCAATATTTGGGGGTTTAATGGGAGAGCAGCTAGAGCAGAGTGCTGCTCCTCAAGACATTTTTTTTTCTTCTTTCCTTTTTTTTTTTTTTTAAGATATTTGGACCCGTTCCTGTGCTCAGGGGCTGCTACGTTTTGGGATTAGCAGCCGCCACTTTGTGCTGGTTTGAGATAGGCTCACGGATGTATTCAGGCAATACAGGTGCATAATGGCGAATGATGAAGAGGAGCGATGGTTTGTGAAGAACCATGTCCTCATTATAATTGGACAATTTAACAATTTATAGCTGTTGTAGGATTAGTTATTTTCCCCTCTTAAACTCACACACACACACACACACACCAACATCTCTTGATTAAACTGCGCCCCACATGCTCTTGGTGCAATCTGGCTGTTTATTTGTGCGTGCAATAGTTCGCCCCCCTCTCTCTCTCTCTCTCTCTCTCTCTCACTCCCTCTGTCTGATTCTGAAGCGTCTTCATAATCCCCCCTCTTATTCAACACTCGCCCCTGCCACTGTCCGTTGAGATTAGCCTTTCGAGGAGAGACTTCTATTTGCCTCTCATTATTAGACTTCTGCCACCTTCTCCCGGTTTAAGGCCTCGTTCTTCCTTCAAAAGGCGAGGCAGATGCTCTCTGTGTCACTCATCCTGACACCATGAGGGTCTGAGGCGGCAGTTCGGATGCTGATAATCCTGAGCTGTTAGTGTGTGTGCGCGTGTGTGTGTGTGTGAGATGGAGCTTGGCGTGAGATTTCTATCCACAGGTAGGCCAGATGCTGTCTGTCATCTCCATTCAATCAATGCAATCAGTGACCTTTGCAGCAGCATCGGTTGCTAGCAAGGAGAAGCAGGAACAATGAAGAGTGAACGGCAGAAACACACGAGGATTATCCAGGATTTTTAGCCTGGTTTCTACTGAAAATGTCTCAGTGCACTCAAAATAAAACTAACTTGCAAGACTTATTGTTACCAAGATATAAGGGCTTGTTTCAAGTTAAGAAAGAATGAGAGAAATAATTTGTTAACAGAACTAGTACTCTTTAAAAGTAATATTAAAATATTTCTGATAAGTTAGTTTTGCCTTTTTTAAAGTGTACCTGTATTTGTACTAGTCTAAAACCACTTGGTAAGATTTTGTGTTTTTTCAGTGTCCAGGAAGGAAAGCTTTTTGTTTTTTGCTTTTTTTGCAAACACAAAATTTACTCCAACATCATACATTTAAAAGAGATGTTTCTTATCCCCTGGGCTGTCAGCAGTGTGTGTGTGTGTGTGTGTGTGTGTGTGTGTGTGTGTGTGTGTGTGTGTGTGTGTGTGTGTGTGTGTGTGCATGTGTGTGCGTGCGTGCGTGCGTGCGTGTGTGTGTGTGTGTGTGTGAGCATGTGTGTGCGTGCATGCGTGCGTGCGTGCGTGCGTGCGTGTGTGTGTGTGTGTGTGTGTGTGTGTGTGTGTGTGTGTGTGTGTGTGTGTGTGTGTGTGTGTGTGTGTGTGTGCATGTGTGTGCGTGCGTGCGTGCGTGCGTGTGTGTGTGTGTGTGAGCATGTGTGTGCGTGCATGCGTGCGTGCGTGCGTGCGTGCGTGTGTGTGTGTGTGTGTGTGTGTGTGTGTGTGTGTGTGTGTGTGTGTGTGTGTGTGTGTGTGTGTGTGTGAGCATGTGTCAAATGGAGACCTGTGCATTACATTGATCTGGGAGTTGATACAGTATCAGCTTCGTGCAGCTGTCTGGTGAAACGGTCACAGGAACAGGAACCTCCGATGGTTACCACACAGTCGGTGAATCTGCATTCAGAGCTTCCCTATGCTGACAACTTGCACGGACCTTTTTTTCCCCTCCATCTTCAGATTGCAATTGCATGTCTGTACCGATAAGTTTTCTTTTTCTTTTTCTTGTACATTTTATTCAAATATCTTGCAAAAGTATTCACACCTGATGGGGTGTTTCATGTTCCAACCACAGGTGTCGATGTATTTCATTGAGACTTTGTGTTCCAGACCAACACAAAGTCCTGCGGCTTGTATTTATATTCAGCCCCTTCTGCTCTGATACCCCTAAATAAAATCTAATGTGACTAAGCACCTTCAGAAATCAACTAATTGGTCATTAGTTCACCACACTGTTCTGTGTTATCTTCAGAGGATTGGTATAACAGCAGGTTTCTAACATCTCCTTACGCTCATGAATGCAAAATTAAACTTTGCTAGTTCATCCTTCTTTCTTATTTTTTTTTAAATTAACTATATAAAACTTTTTGTCTTCAAAAACTAACTGCCACCTTTTTCCTTTCATACCTCTGTGCAGGGATCAGATTTCAGGATTTAGCAGCTTAGCCATATTCTCCAAAGTGTTTTTTTTTTTTGTTTTTCTTTTTTTGCTCAATAGTCTTGAGAAAATCCTTTTCTCTTTCTAAATCAGTCTGAAAACTCTCAGGTTTATCAC